CTTAGTCTCGCTAAAACTCGAGAACAGCTGAACGGATTTAAAAATTGATTCATTACTGGGAAAACCATAAAAACAGCCCTTTTCTATTTCCCACACAAACGTTTTTTTGACATTAGATTTGACAACTAACTAATATGTCAATCATTCTGTCGCACTTGAAAACACGGAGATTTATGGCTTACAGGTAAACTCCAAAAATATAAATAAAAAAACGTAATAGATATTTCTTGATTATAGGGCGATACGAAGTTCGCCGGGTCTTCTAGTAGACATTTATAGATCGTAACTAAATTCAGTCTAAGTATAATTCAATGTCAGTAGCATATAATAACAGGTTAATTGAATTAATTTAGTTCTCATAATTGTATTCAAATGGTGTAATTACAAGGTGAACGATCTGTGATAGTGTTATCAGTTGAAGAAAATTTATGCTCGTGAACAAAGTTGGGGTGTACGGTTAGTGTTTTATAATATTGAATTTATTGGTTCACAAATTTAGTTCATATATTATGAGAATAAAAGTTAAAAAAGACGTTGATGTACTAGTGTTGCTATTAAGAAAACATTTACAGTATTAAAGAATTATAAGTTTAAACTGCCTATCAATTACTTGTCTAAAAATTTAAATTAATATTTATTCTCTAGTTTTCAAACTCCAAATGGTCTCTTTTATTTGGCATAACTTAATTTTCAATTACAGTTTATATTTCAAACGAGTTCAATTTAAAATTATGCCATAAAAATATATTATTATCATTACTGTTATATCAGAAATCATGGCTTAATTCCCACAAAACATTTACTTAATCCCTTCTAATAATTCTTATTTTAAACTTTTCATCAAAAGTAATATTCGCTAGCATATTTTCTTTAATAAACATAGCTTAGTAATTCATAATACGTCATCCATAATGATTTCCATATCAAATCATCTTCTATCAACCGTCTTCAAAACCTACCCCAAGTCCCGAGTCCCGAGACAATCAGGCATAGATTATAAAAAACATACGTACGTTGAACCTGGTCGTTACACCCACCTGCGGCCTCACACCTGACGCAACGGACACGTGTTCGCGCCAAAACACTCACTCTCACGTGACGTTTGACGTTTGGCATTTTTTTTATTTATAAACGTCAATAATGACACTTGACGTGATATACCAAAGAGGTTTTATGTCGACCGAAATGTAGCTGTGATTTTTTGTTTTTATATAAATTATTTTTATTATAGTATTACATTTATTAATATGTGATGATTGTATAACGTATATGTTATAGTATATATGTTTGTTTGTTGATAATTGTATATATTTAAGGATAATATACAATTAGTAACAATATTAAACCGATCTTAGGCACCTGATGTAACGGATTCCAGCACGCGTCTCGACATTAACGACCCTCACATGTGTTTAGTTTATATTTAAATTACTACTATTAAATTTAAATAAAACTGACAAAACTTGAAACTACTTAAAGTAAAAATTTAATTGTTTTTCACAATAATCATTATAATTCCTTATAAATAACAACGATTTCATGTTAAATCAATTTGTGCAAAACTCGATTATAAAATAATCAATGTCTTTTCGCGTATCGTAATCGATTTTAAATGGATTTATTATAACATTAATATATATTTTAATCAACGGCAAATAATATTTGTAATACAAAGTTAAAATTCCCACATAAAACAACCACCTGTTACACAATGTTAAGTTATTCAAATATATTTAAATATCGCCACCCCATGTCTAGCTGAATTACAAATACCAACATCATACAATAACTGCTTACTGAAATTAAAAAAAAAACTAAAAAGAGGTTATAACACAATAAAACCTTTTTCGAATGAAATCAAATTTAATATACTTTTTAAAAAAAATATGAAATAAGTTCATTAGTATAGAAAATATTGAATAATATAGTAGTGTTATTGTACTCGATAAGTTATAAGGATATCAACCGATTAGCAAATAATACAGGTGGACAAGACTTGCGTGATTTTTTTCAAGCGGCGGGAAAATGTCAAGTTTGTATAAGTTTGTTAACCTCCTTGGTTGTGTTTTTTTTTAATTTTTTTTTTATGAAATGATTGCAATTATACTTCTCTATTATAAATAGTTCGGTTAAAATTATATACGTTATGTATTATTGATTAACTTAATTATTAATATATTTTATATATACAAATTAAGTAGTATTAAAGAAATTAAAGCACAGATTATAAAGATTTTGATGGAAATGAATATAACATTTTTAATCTTTAGCTACAATAACGTACATTTGCAACATTTAGTTACAAAAAGTGTAAATTACTTGTATCGGTATTATTCAGTCGTACGCGGAAAAGACTTGGTCTGATAATCGAAAGTATTTATTATTATGAACCTTAATAAAAGATATTAAAGTCCTTATTTAAATGACAAAAAAGAGTTAATAAAACAGAAAAACTTATCAAAATACCCGATAAATAGATCTAGACTTTAAGTTATTGTAATAAAGTATTATTTCGCATGTGACGTTGAGAACTGGTTATATGAATATAATTCCAATATTAGATCTCCAACAATGGATTATTCTTTGCGATTTTAATTTCAAACAGATATTTTGATTCATTAAAATTTTCATCTGACAGATGAAGGAAAACATCGTGAGGAAACCTGGACTTATATCAAATTATAAGTTTGAAATCACCAACCCGTCTTGAGCAAGCGTGGTGATTAATGCTCAAACCTTCTCCATGTGAGAAAGAGGCCTTTGCTCAGCAGTGGGCTCTGATAGGCTGATGACGACTAAATTTTCATCTTATAATTGAAATACAAACATAATAACAAGTTATACGATTTATTTCATACATTTTTTTAACTAAACCGTTAATAATTTTTAAATAACGGAACACAATAAATATCTAACACATGTTATTTGAATTATTTTAGACTTTTTTCTGTATATTAAAACTTCGGCACGTGCTGAGGGGTGCAGCGGCTTCCTGCGATGACAATCATACGAAAAGCTATAGAAAAAATATAATAATTAAACAGCAGTTGTAACGGAACGCAGAATTGGCGGGAAATATTGACATTGACAGTAATTTTTTTTTTGACAACCCAATGATAAAACGAAAATGCTTGAAAACAGGTTTTATATTTTTATAACGACTTAAAAATGTTATCAATTCAATGTTATCCAAAATTTTAGCACTACAAATATTATTTTAAAGAGAAGTAATAGTTAAAGGATAAATAATATACAATTTTCTTCATATAAGTTAACTTTAAACAATTTTAGTTCATTAATCCTAACTGACCTCACTATACGTAGACTAACCGTTACATCCTTAATACATCCCTTATCAGCTGTTCAAAACAAACACTATTATTAAACAAAAACCTACTTTAACCACTATAACATAACGTCCAAATTAGGACAAGCTAAATGGAGAAAGGCGTTACTTTTTTTTCATAAAATGTCACTTTCTTTGTAAGAAAATATATATAATATTATATTGTAATGCAACCTTTTTAGAAAATAATAAAAGACTTCTCGCCTCAAGCTAGAACTTTACTAACCTAGATAATACCTAAATTATAGACTCAGACCTGCCTGGATCTAGACTACGTAGGATCTATTTAGTACTGAGAATACCGTTATGAAAGAGAAACGTCTTTATTTTACGTCTTTGACGAAACTGTAACAATATATATAAAATCATCACTCACAAAATGGTGGCGGGAAAATATCAAGTAATTAAAATGTAAAAATGGTTAGGACACGCAAACTTATTAATTATTATACATGTTATATTAATATATACCAGTTAGACATATATTATATATATATCAATAATATAAATATGTAACTTCGTTATTTTTCATATAATAAAATAAATACGACTGAACCAATTATGACATTTTTTTGTAAAGAACACACGAAATAAATGTTAAACTTAACAATAATCAGTTTAATATGAACTATGAACATTGTTTGTAATTTAAATGTTCAAATTTGAAACAATGTTCAAATTTAAAACAAACGGATGTCGGTCAACAATGTTATTACGGACGAAATAAAATTATAATAAAAAAAAAAAATACCTATAAAGTGTATCGAATCTCAATATTGTATTTTCTACTTCCATCACTAGCCGCTGATTTATTAGTGATGTCATTAAATAAAATATCGATAAAAAAATTATAACAAAAATAAATTACATTAAATTCTAATTCAGACAGTCGATTTTAAAAATCATGATTCTTCTACTAATTATATATATATAGAATATTATTTATTATAATATTAAAGTGTATTCTAATAAGTATTTTATCGATATCGATAATATTGTCGTAACTATCACAAACCACACCTATTAGTGGTCTACTACCGACCATTACAGACCATCCGCAATAAAAGTTATTCCGTCAATTCACTATTGGTTTTATAAATTTTTGAATAAATATTAATATTATAATGTAGTTATTATAATAATTTCTTAATATTGTTAAGCTTTTAACGAATAAAACTATGTTATAGTCTAAAATCATATAATTATGGAGGCATTCAACGAAACTTTAAAAAACCATATTATAAATTGAGTATAAAAAATTTAATTAATTGTTTCATTTTATCAAATAAACATATCAAAATTTATTAATATTATATTCCGAAAGTCCCGAATGAGAAATACATATACCAGTTTCACTAATAATAAAAAAAACCTGAATTAAATATCAAAAAACCAAAAATATCATGTCTTATGTTATACAACTACAACTTTTGTACTTTCATAAATATTATAAGTGTATATCATCATAATATCATATTCATTTCACTTTTTCTGAGAATCACAGCCATAAGATAAAACTTTCAATTGTATATATATTTGTTTAGGAGTTATTCCATACACACACACACACACACACACACACATACATTCATCCATTTACACACACATACTTATAATTTGATTGTCTCTGTATTTTGTGAACTGATTTATAATATCAAGAGCCTATCTGAACCGCCCGCGCACTCATTGTAACGTCTTCGGCGGATGTTCCGCCATGATCGCTCGACCGTCCCGAATTCAGAACGGAGCCGCTTCCGGTGACGTCACCGGCAGCCATTTTGTCTGCGTCTGCGCATTGTGATCATGGGAAACGGGAGCCGAACGAGTTTCCCTCAGGAAATGTAGCATTTTTTATGTACATTTCATTATTTTTTTAAATATTACCTTTAAGATATTATATAGCCGTTAATTTTGAATCATAACAAATCCTCTAATCATTTAAGTTAGTCATAATAAAAACTATACAATAAATCAATGTCATTTTATATAAAAATATAAGAATAAAGTTAAAATATTATTGTTGACAATCATTCGACCTCCAGTGTGAACTTGGCCTAGCCTCGTGACAACAGTGTGAATTTGTCTTAGTATTGTTATAGTATTATAACATTTTGTTACGTGAATATACAACAGAATATACTGGCTTTATATGTACATATTATGCTTACATTTCACAAATGTTAAAACAATTAAATTTTTTCAACTACACTTAATATGGAAGCATCGCTTAATTTTTATGTATTGGTTAAAATTAAGCATCGCTTAATCTTTGTATATATTATCAATTCTTTGTATTATTTACGTTAAAATGTTAAAACATTTAGTTAATATATTTTAAGTTTCTTTACGTTAAATTAAGAATAACCAAGTCAGGGTCCTGGCCTACTAAACCTTAAATGACCCCAATAATCTTTTAATCTGTCCAAAAAAATATGACCATTGAACATCCCTAGCAAAAACCGAGGACGACAGTTTACTAATATTTTTTACTAACGTCGATTACCTTCGAGGCTGTTTGCGCAATGCCTCTTGTCGCTTATAATTTTTTTTATTAGAAACCTCATGATATTTCACGATAATTCGATAAAAATTCAACAAAAAAATTGTCATTTAGAAATATTATAGCATTGCTTACTATACTGTATTTACTGTAAGTGAAGCTACTCATTCATGTATTTTAAATATATATATTTCTTTCGTTTTATATCGACTTAGTTGCCTTAATATATGTTTGTAATTAACATACAATAAAAGCCTTAAAATACATTCAAATATTATCACAAGTTCTAGATTCATTTAGAACTGTATTTAGTGTAAGATATTTTTATATTCCCTTATTTGTCCCAAAAGCTTTGTAATACAGACAAAAGTAATAAAATGAATATTTATATTGTTAAAACTAATGCCTTTTTTGCCATATTAATTTGTTTTACAATATTCTTTAATGTAACATTACAGTAGGTAAACGATTACATTTTAATTGTAACTCAAAGTCATCACGACGCCATGGCTGAGTCTGTTGTAACTTTATTATTTAATCGATTTTCGGACATCCGTGCTCAGTTACTTCAATGGCATTTCGAATCGCGTTAAAATGTTTATAATTTATGTTTTTGTGTACAAAATCTTATTCTGTTCCTATTAAGATATTTTCTGTTCCTGAAGTACACTTAGATTCATTGAAATGGTTGCCTTCATTTGTTTTCTTTATATTCTTCTTCTTTTGCAGTTCTATGAAATATTAAAAGACTCCTTAAAAGTATTTTTCGAGTTGGGACATTGATCATTCAGATCTTAAATGACTTTCCTTGAGCTTCAGCAATACTCTTTCACCATCAATATACCAGTCATTTGATAAGAATACCTGCATCAAATCATAAAGTCTGATATTACTATGAATGCTTTCTTCTGAAGCAAGTCTCCCTGACCTCCGCCAGCCAGCCAGCAGGTCATCAGTCCATTACATACAATCGGTAACGGCCACCATCCAATGAGTGAACGTGCAGCCACCGAGCGAATCAAACAATCCTGCGTCCTGCTCCACTGAACCATGCCCCACGTGCTCCAGCTACTTGTTGATGCACTGCTGGCTCCGTAATGCTCTGTGGAGTTCAGATATGCTGGCTTCGTGACGTCATCATGAGTTAGAAGGCAGAAGCCAGCCGACCAGTTCCGGGCTCACTCATTGATAAACTCGGTCTTTCAATTTTATGAATGGACCAAGTCCTTCTAGCAAAATGTTCTAATGATTGTCTTGTATGTCTCTTACTGGTTTTGGTAAGGAACATGTTTATGGTATAGCATAATTTTAAAATGCTGATAGTATTTGATGACTTATTCCTCACTAATTGCTTGGAACGAATCTGTACCTATAGTCAGATTCAAGACCCAAGATTCATGCAAATCCTTGATTTCTTTCTACTTTCCTTAATTTGTGAAAAGTAATGAAGAATTTTCTAAAAAATCGACTGAATCTTACACAAAAATTTATTTTATATTGAAAGTTAATTCTTTTACTACCATAAACAGTTTGTGTATTTCCTACAGGTAAAGTAATATTATAGTGATATTTTTCATAGTGTATAAAGAAATCTAGGAATATAAAAACGTATTCTATAATTTTTCCTATTTAGTATTAGAACTTTCATTTCAAATAAAACATATTTGCCAAGAGGACGATGAGTTTATAAGTGTAAATTAAATGTAATTTACAAGGAACATATTTCGTCAGAAATATTCCAATTCTTAAATTTTGTTTAAGTTTTCAGCAAGCTTAGTCCAAGTCTTCATACTTATACTACAAATAAAACGTTTTCCATTGACTAAATGGAAAACTTTTAACGCTTTTAATGTAGTTAGGCTATGACAACTTAAACTAAACATACTAGCAGTACGAACATTGAATTGAATTCTTCTCTCTAAAACGTTACTATTCTAACCACATAAAACATAATTCTTTAGTTAAAAGGATTTTACAAGTCAGAAAACCTAAGCTAGTTAGTTAGTATACTTCCATATATAATATACCACCGAAAACTTTCAAATTATTGTGCAAATGAGATCACAATGTATGAATGAGTCACGATAAAAATAGTGGTCGCGAAACAATGACCAGTACTCGAGCATAACAACACGGAAATTTGAACTTAGGTTTATTGAAGCATATTTTTAAACTATGACTTTTGTTTTGATTGCATCTTTGTTTCCAAAAAACAAACAAGTAATCCTGTTCTTGGTAAAAAAAGGCATAAATGTAATATTTCCTTAATATCATCATCATCCTATCAGAGCCCACTGCTGAGCTGCCTCTTCTCACATGGAGAAGGTTTGAGCATTAATCACGCTTGCTCAAGACGTGTTGGTGATTTCAAACTTATAATTGTGATATAAGTCCAGGTTTCACGATGTTTTCCTTCATCTGTCAGTGATGTCTAAATACTCTTAGAAAGTGCATATGAATTTTGCCTTAATGTTAACTAAAAAAATTCATTTAAAACATTCTAATTATTTAATTCAGTACCTTATTATGTCAAAGCTGAATTTAAAAATCGTAAATCAATTGATAGATTTCGACGGGCGTTTAGAAAGCGCTACCGTTCTATTGTAGAGTGTTTTTTTATTTTCACTCACAAAAACTCGAGGAAAGGTGCCGACGTTACCTTTTGGCTCTATTTGGATACGTTTAAAATATCTTTGGCGCAATCGATTAACTATTTGACAATAATTATCATATTATAACGATTTTTTACTGTTTTTTTTGACATCTTTACTATAATTAGTAATAATTTTATTAAAGTTTAATTTTCGCTAGCATTACACACTAATGTTAAATAATTATTTTATAATAAAGGAATTCCTTACTAAATAATAAGAAATATATATTACAGCCTGTACCTTTCACAAACTGAATGTACTAATTCATTCATTCATATGAAATTATTCAAAACATTAAAACCGCCTAAAATTAGTTTATTAATACAATTTAAATTAATTATAAGACATATTTTGGGTTAAAAAATATCAATATATATATAATAATATAGTAAATATAGCTATAAATGATAATATCATAGGAAATTCACTTTTATTATATAATTGAGTCTGGGAATATTTTACAAAGAGTTACAAAGACAAGAAGTTCGCACACTTGAAAATAAATGTATGGAATTTATTGTTATGTGTGTTACATAAAGAATTAAATTTGAATGTCACATAATTTTAAATTTAATTAAATTTAAATATTATATTATTAAATTTAAATTGAATTTGTATACCAAATAGTTCTTTAGCCGACGCACGCGCATTTAGTACAATCGAAATAGAACAATAGTTATATATTTTAAACAAAAATAATATTGCAGTTGAAATTAATATTATTTTACTTATTAGTATATTAAACCATATTTTTATATGAGTATTTATATATTTGGTATATAAAGCATATTTAAAACAATATACTTATTGAAATTCTTATAAGACGTATAAAAAGAAAAGATTGATAAAAATCACGAATTTTCTAAATTATAAAGAATTTAAGTATAGACAAAAGCATTTGTAATACCTACTCATATATATGTATATAAATTTTCGTTATATACATATATATATATAATTTTCTTACCTAAAAAGCCTTTAATTATTATATATATTACATACCTGGTTGTATGATAACTATATAATATCACAGTATACACTGTATCACAGGTACACCTCACTGGTCTGTACGTCCGTACAGCTCGGCCTGTTAGGCTCAAATGCGTTTGAGTGGAACACAGATACTCCCGCGCAGCCTGTACACATACACACACACACACACACACACACACACACACACACACACACACACACACAGACACACACACATAAATGATATATAATGAACGGAAAATCGTCATTAGTGATACATGATGACTATATGGAAATATATATACATATATATATTTTTTATATGAGGAAATCTTCCGATCAATATTAGGTAGGTATATGAAATTAATTTGGATTCAATTATATTATTTTTATATTTAAATTTATTGAAATTGTAGCAAGAACTGGTCGTAATCTTACAACTCAAATGGAACTGTAAAGAATTTGAATTATAAGAAAAGTTTTAACAAGAAAATATAGTCTTAAGAAATAAACTATTAATAAAATTATATTTTTAAATTAAATTTACTATACAGTAAGCTAACTCTATGTATTTTCAATCTAACCTTACATTTAAATATAAATAAAGGCAGATACATATATATCTTCTACCTGGCAATTTTCCCAGCTTTAGCCAGGGTTTGCCAGTTATATATATCAATCGTCTCTACTTTCATCGGTCCACTTTCTGTACTCATTATTCGTATATTTTTCGTATAAGGCGTCTTCACACTGACACACCTGTGTGGAAAGACCCTTATTATCACTAAGAGGGTGGTTAAGAACTCTTGTTAGAAATAATGTATTATTATTAGTATTAATTAAATTAATTTTATTAAATATATTTAGAATACAATCTAGTTATTATCTATAGATATAAATAGTTATAGATATATAGATAGTTTTGAATGGACGAACTTAAGAACTCTTGTTAGAAATAACGTTTTATTTCAAATTATTACTATTAATGAAATAAATTTTATTAAACATATTTTAGTTATTATCTATCTATATCTATATCTATAGATAGTTTCATTAGTTTCAATCATATTTATTATCATTTTAAATCTCTACAATAATTATAATAATCATCTATATTACAAAATCTTTTTTATTTTCTAAACTTACAATGGCGTCTAATATTGCACAACTGTGGTGTTGCAGGTGTGTCTTCTGTCTCTCTCGCACGCACTGAGATACGTATATCGCTATCTCGCTCACACGTAACGACTTAAATTGTAACGGCTGAATATTACTTCAGTTAGAAAAATTTAATATTAATTTTTTTTTATATATATGTATATTATGATATTATATGAAATGGCTGACTAAATATATGAGATTGTTTTATATATGTATATATGTTTTTTATATTTATTTATATGAAATTTATAAGGCCTTTGAAAGTAAGGTTGTGATATAATAGAGTTTAGAGAGAATTAAAATTTTTAATAATAAAGTATTTAGTTTAGTAAAAACTAAAGCTATAATTATTATTTATATAATCTATTTATAGTACTATTAATATAATATATTGAACATAACTTGCTATGTGAGGTGTGAAATTTTGAAATTCAACGTCAATATAAAAGACATCAACGCGCTAACTCATATCTACATACAATATATAATCCTTATAAATACTAATATATATATACATATATATTAACGATGTTTTATATGTCATATATAATTGTTAGTTTGTAAGGAGCTGGTCGCAGGAGTTTGAGGGGAAGACGCTACGAACATCCGGACACTAGGGATGTACCACCATGATGAATATATTATAATAATAATATATTATAAGAAGAATTGAAGCAGGTTTTTTTGTGCTAAAACTGTATATATATTATAAAAATAATTAAAAGTTTTCAGTAGATTGAATAATATAATATACAGCAAAATATTGTTCTATAATTATAATAGTAGAGATTTTTATAAATATATATATATCATTATTATATATATTATTATATATAAGAGGATATATAATAATCAAAGTATCGTTATATTAATCGACAGGTACATCACTAGCAATACAAGCGGCGGAGCGTGACGAAGAAAGCACAACCGTACTAACGGACAACACTACGAGGAATTATCACTTGGATGAAACATGGCTTAATTATATATATGACAAAGGCAGACCCTGGCTAAAGCTGGAAGGTTGCCAGGAAGAACATATATATAATACGCCGAGCAGATTTTGATAATCCTATCCTATCTTACAGAGTTTGTTAAAGACTATGAGATATAAAGTAGAGATGAGAAATACATCATCATCAGCCTATCAGAGCCCACTGCTGAGCCTCTCCTCACATGGAGAAGGTTTGAGCATTAATCACCACGCTTACTCAAGACGGGTTGGCGATTTCAAACTTATAATTATCCTTTTTATACATTGGTTA